CTATGTTTACAAAAAACTAGTGGTCTGAAATTTTATTTTCTTGTAATGTCTTTGTTAGGTTTTGATAGTAAGATTGTTCTAGCCACCTAAACTGAGTTTGGAAGTTTTTACCTAATACCTTTTTTTCTGAGTTTATGAAATATTAGTTTTATTTCATCCCAAAATATTTGATTTGATTTACTATTTAACTATCTGAGACTTAAATTTCCTTTGTGGGAGGTTTTTCAAGTTTGAATTTAATTTCTGTTCTTTATAGTATAGATTTATATGGCTACTTAGACTTTTTCTCAGTTGTTTTTAACTTTGGTGATTTGTGTCTTTAAAGGAATTTGTCCATTTAATCCAGTTTGAATAAAATTATTCATAATATTGCTTTATTTTCCTTCTTGTTTGTGTAATTTCTATGGTAGCATCCCTTCCTTCATTTCCAATGTCAGAAATTTATATTTTCTCTTTCTAGTCTTTAACATTAGTTCCCAAAAGTCACCAATTTAATTTACTTGTGATTTTGTGTTTTAGAAGTTTTAGAAAAGCTCAGCTGAACAGTTCTTTCTTGGGATGGTTAATGAAGTTGTATTGAGCTGTCGGTGGAGGCTTTGGTCATGTGAGACTCCTCTAGGCTGGATGTCAAAGTGCTCCTCACATGGCTGTCTATTGGTGCTGGCTGTGGGCTGGGAGTCCAGAGGGGTCTGTTGATGGTGTGACCTGAGGCCTGTCCCACAGAGGAGCTGTCTTCCTCCAGGGCAAGAATTCCAAGAGAACCACGTGGAAGTTGTGTGGCCTTCCGTGACATATTTTGGAAGTAAAGAAGTGCTATATCCACTGGATTTTTTTGTTTTTTTTGGTCCCAAACAAGTCACCAGGTCAGCCTAGATAAGGGGGAAGGAACTTAGGGTTCATTTCACGATGAGAAAAGTCTCAAAAACTTTCAGTCACATTTTATAACCTTTACAATTAGTCTAGATGAGGTTTAACAATTTTATTAATTTTTTCAAATATTTACATTGATTTTATGTTATTTGTTCATTTAAAGAATTGTTTTTCTATTCCTACTTTCATTATTTATTGTCTTTTACTTACTTGGAATTTGATTTTCTCTTCTATCTCAGCTTATTAAAGTGGAAATAAGTTTAGATGACTGATTTTATGCCTTTCTTTCTAATAAAGATATTTTAAAACTATGAATTTCCAAAGTATTACACATTTTTACTTTTTTGTCTGTTTATTCCAGTTTTATCCCAGGGACATACAGAAAGCCAATTCTAGGTTTCCAGAAGATGCAGGACTTCGGCCCACATGGCTCCTTCTTCTAGATTGTACTGTTTAAGAGCAAATATCTGGAGCCAGATTGTCTGGGATTAATTCTACCTCTGCACTTACCAGTTATGCTGGCAAATTACTTAGCCCCTCTGTGCCTCCATTTCCTCTTAAATCATAGATTAACAGATAGATTATTGACAGTCTGAAATCAAACTAAGTGAAAAAGAATGTATAAAGTGGGGATGTAATAATGATATCTATCTCAAAGACTGTTATGAGGGCTAAATGAGTTAGGATTTGAAAAGTGCTCAGAATTGAATTTTAAAATATATTACTCAGTATATTTGCTATATTAAATTATGTAGAAAAAGGAGGCTCATGCAGTCATTCAAATGATTATTACTGTATGAGTTAAGAATAACAGTGTTGAAGAGTTATCTGCCAGAATAGCACTGATTTGTAGAATATCTGGTCTGAGTGTTGCTGTTCCTAGGTCTCTTTTCCTAGGATAGATGCCTGACTAAAAGATGAAAACACAGCCAACATCATTAATCATAGCAATTTAAAGTATTTCTGTTAGTTTCTAAAATAAATTTGAGAGGAAATTCCATTTGTATCTTAACCAAAGAGCTAGCATCATTGGCCATTTAATGGTCCACTCTTCTGGTTTTTTGTTTTTTTGTTTTTTTTTTTGGTACCCGGGGATTGAACTTGGGTCCTTGCTCTTGCAAGGCAGGCCACCAAACCGCTGAGCTAAATCCCTGGCTACTCTTCATTTTTAAAATCTCAGTCCTTCAGACAGACATGCTATACAAGACTGAGGGTCAACATTTCCTTTCTAAGATTATTTTAAACCTAAATATTGCCCTAAATCTGACCATACACATAACAGTAATAGAGAGATTAAATGGATACAAAAGATTAAAATGGAATGAATCTTGCCTAAATTCTGAAAGAAGCTGTATTATATGTAAATTCACACTCATTCTTCACTCCTGTTAGTACACAGATACTACCTTCATGCTACAAAAGATTGCCTAATCTGATTCCCTATCCTCCCTTTGAAGTATAGGCATTCCTTTAGCTGTCTGTTTCTCCCTGCTAGACTATAAGATTCTTGGGTAAGGACTAGATTTTACATCTTTTGTTTATGTCATGATCCGTGAAAGTAATTATTCAATTGGGTTGAAATGCCATCGACTTCCTCTAAAATCTAGATGAATACATTACAGTCAGGGTGAAGTCAGATCTATCTAAATCTGAAATCTCTTGGGTTTACAGATTTCTAAAAATATTAAAATAATAATGATAATCTTATTTTAAAATGCTCTGAATTAAGTTCAGCTAAAACCACCAATGAACAATATGTGATCTCAAAACAATAAATTTTTAATCAACTAGAATCCATTCAGATCACCTTAGTTTTTATCTAATGTTCTTTTTCTGTCCAGAATCATGTCTGGAACACACTGCTGCAATCAGCTGATTTGGATCCTGAGGCTCTTCTGGCTGAGAGAGTCAAAACAATAAATTTATCATTGATTCCAATAAATAAATAATATTTCTTAAATCAAAAGTATGACCTGGATAATAATGGACATATTTCCAATAGCAAATGGTTTAAAATAGCCTCTAATTATGCACCACTTCTCTTTAGCTTATTTATTTAAGGAATTTGACATAAATGTTAGATAATTGAGTTTTGCAGTCTTTGATGGTAACAAAACAGGAGGGCACATATTTCTCTTCTATTTGAATACATCACCTTTAGAATTTTCAGTTGGATATAAATACATAGAAAGAGTTTAAAAGCAGCCAAAGCTTCTATGAATTGAGAGCTAATGAGAAAGGAAGACTTAAATTTAACCTTCAAAATTTGGGAGCAGGGGTATGTAGTAAAAATCAAATGACTTTTCAACATAGTGAGAAAATAGACTCTACATGGCAGTACTCCCTGAAACTTAAGGGCAGGGGTACAGAGTGGGTTAAAAATTACTCAGCAGATATTTATTGAACACTTACTATGTGCCACCCACCATCTGGGTCCTGTACACACAGAAGACCCTGCTCTTATGGAGCTGGAAATTTTATTAAAAGGAGATCTAATAATTTTGAACTTCAAAGGAAAAGATTTGGTCTCCATCTCCTACTTTCCTTTTTGGCAGTGTTGGAATGCTAAGTTCCTTTTTACCTATGAGTTATACAGATTGAGAGAAATTAGCGAAAAAGAGGGTTAAGTACAAAACAGAAAACTTCTGGTCAGAGCACCCTCTTGTCTTACATTTGCAAAAACATGAGAAGCTACTTAGATATTTTCCTTGAACACAAAAGTAGGTCCCAAGACAATTCTCTGGGTCCACATGTAGAACTGACTGCCATTATTACTGATAACTAAATAATAATAGTACCATTCAAAAGAAAGAAATACTTTGTTTTACCAGGCATCTCCATAGTAAATCTATCTCAAAATTTAAAGTAAAAATTAAAGCAGATAATAAAGGGTGTCTGTCATAGTTGTCGGCATGAGGTTAGTATTAAACACACACACATACACACACACACACACTCATACACACTTCCTTCCTCAGCCACTGTGACAAATACTCTGGCCCTGCCTCTGAGACAGAATATAAATCAGGCTCCTAATCATTCAGCACAAGCAGTCAGCCCTGCCTCAGGCGCATCTGGTATGGAAAGCATGTGAATCCCTCTTTAATCAACAATTTAGAATAATGGCATTTCCGACCCTCATCAGAGAATTCAACCAGGAATTGATTGCAATGCAGCTCTTGCCAAATGCTTCCTGGGACAGTTGGTGTTTGAGAGAAACTGTCTAATGGCTATGTTAACAACATTCTTTCTTCTTCTAAGCTTCTATTTGAATTAAGCAATTACTAGAAAACTCATCTGGACTATATTATTATAATTCTGTATAAAATCCTTTGTTCAATTAAATGTGCTGCTCCTTTATCCACTTTTGGGAGGATTTATATTAAAATTATATGCCTTGAATGGGACCTAACCTATCAATAATTTCTTTAAAAATATTGAAAGAATAAATGTTTGAATAGATTTATGTTTTTTCTCTTAATAAAGGTATAAGTGAAATATAATCTATTAGAATATTCTTTTTATTCCCCCCCCTCTCTAGAGAATTATTTGTTATCCTTCATATTTTAGCTGGAAATAACCTTTCTGGTCTACTCACACCAGCTTATTTACTTTCCATGTAGGGATCTAATCTCTTCCCATCCTGTTCACTTCTGTTAGTGCTTGTATTTAGATGTCCACTGAAAGCTTCATGCACTCAGGGATTGGGCTTTTCAGAGGTGGCTGGATCTAGGGTATATGATAACTAAATGGGTTTAGCCTAGTGTAGATAATGGAAGCACCACCCTAGTGTGAACGGCACCTATCAATAGGCTTATAGCCTAGATATAATACAAAGAGAAAGAGGGAAGGCGGGCTTGCTGCTGTGACTGGCTACTTGCTTCTTTCTGCCTTCTGCACCATGAACAGTTTTTTCTCTAATGCCCCTCTGCTGTGCTGCCCTGCCTCAGATCCAGCCAACTGTGTACTGAAACCTCTAAAAACTGTGAGCTTACATAAACCTTTTCTCCTTTAACTTGTCAGTATCATGTATTTTTGTCTCAGCAACAGGAAAAATAACTAAGACACCATCTCTGCTGTAGCACCTAACATCTGCTTTTGTAATTGTTTATACTATTGTCTTTTCACCAGATTATGAGCCACTTCATTACTGTGCATTTACATCTTTGCAGCTGCAGTATATGGCACAGGGCCTTGTCAAAAGTAAGTGGATAAATGTTTGAATATCAAGAGAGTGAATAAGTCAATTCAGTGTCCCTTATATAAGTACCAACCGAACATTGTTTCCTTGAATTCAGTAACAGGAAAACATGATATTTTCAATACATATTTATTCAGCTTATGCTTTATGAAAAACACTTCTGATATTATGAGAGATCTTCATGATCCCTACCATTCAGAACTTCTCTATTAGATGAGAGAGATCTATCTGATAACATATTCAAGATAGTCTGGATTCAATATCTTACTAGCAACACAGAGCATGTTCAGGAGAGTGAAACACACAGGAGGTTAATTACAAAATGAAGACAAAAGAGTTTTTTGCTTGAGGTAGAGTTTGACTGAGTAGAATTTTAGCAGGCAGACATGGATATATGAATATTGGTGGAAATAAAATTATGATCTGATTATACAGAGAAGATAAAAGAAAAGAAGTGATGGGGAGGTGTTGAGAAACTTTGACAGCTAAAAGATCATCCAGTGAGAGCTGGGGATGACAGTGCATACCTATAATCCCAGTACTCTAAAAGGCCGAGTCAGGAAGATTGAAAGCTTGAGCCAAACTTGGACAACTTAGTGATTTAGTATGACACTGCTTCAAAATAAAAAACAAAGAAAATTAAAAAGGGTTGAAGTTGGGCCAGGGATTTAGCTCAGTGGCACTGTTCCTGCCTTGCAAGCTCAAGGTTCTGAGTTCAATCTGTGGTACCAAAAAAAGGGGTGGGGAAGGCTGAAGTTGCAGCTCAGTATGAAGGCCCTTGTCTCTTTAGTACCACCAAAAATCATCTAGGAGGAAGTCAACTCATGATTGTCAACTTGACTGGATTAAGAGACCCATAGAGAGGTGATTGTAACAAGGAGCACTACTCTCATCAGTGGATTAATTCACTGATGTTCATAGCTGAAAGTGTTTAGCTGAAAGGAAATGGGGCCCAGTTGAAGGAAGTGGAGGAGTGGCTCTGTAGGATAACTCTTTTACTGACATGTTGTCGCTGTGCTTTACTTTCTGGCTTTCCTGAAGTGAGCATCTTTTTCCTTTTTCCATGTCTTCCTACTATAATGTTTCTATTTTGGAGTCAGGTGACCATGGTCTGAAATTGAAATTATGAGCTAAAATAAATCTCTCCTTTAAATTGCAGGTACCAGGTATTTGCTCCTAGTAACAGAAAAGCTGACCAATACAGAAAGTCCATACCAGGAATGAGGATGTTGTTGTGACTACTCCTGACTATGGGGTTCAGAAGTTTTTGGAACTGATTTGGGGGAGAAATTTAGAAAACTCTGGAAAAGAAGACTAGAGAAGCTGTAGACTTCTGTAAGACAGTTTAATGGACAATTCTGGTAGGAGCTCAGAAAGCCAGAATGCTGATAGGAATGTGGACAATAAAGGCCTGCCTCATGAGGTTTCACACTGAAATCAGGACTCTACTTGGAACTGTATTAGCGACAATGTATGTTAATGTATGTTAATGTATGTTATGTTCTGATTTTAAAAATAGTTACATTTTATCCATGACCTAAGAAGTTGAATTAAAGATGAATTTAACATGACAGACTAATTGATCTGGAAAAGGATATCTCAAGTCAGCCAAATATTCAAGTGATAGCCTGCTTACTGATGACTGCTTGTAGCCATATTTATAGTGAGAATCAGAAGCAAAAAGCAGAGTAGGAAGATTTGAAAAACTTACATTTTTGCCCAAAGACAACTATGTATAAATTTGGGGCCAAAAGGTATGATTGCTGAAAAGATAGTACCATTAAAAATAAGCCAAGCATTTTGCACAGGGACAAAAAGAAAGATGTCTTGAGGGCATCTCAAGAATCAGCAAGAATCCACCAAGTGTAGGCTCAGGGGTGCAAAGGTGTAAACCTTTTAGTTGAGAAGAGAGCCCTTAGGACTTCAGAACAGTCTTTTCAGAAATTGGTTCCCCGGGATTCATTTCACCACATTCAGCCATTCATGCACTTAGAGGCCACGGCAGCCACAATCCAAGGGCCTTGGCCATTGCTCAAGCTAGTGGCAGACCTGGGCTTTGTCCACTTGATGGTGGATTTTCAGGCATGCAGACAGTAAAAATTGCATGATCTTGGAAAGCTTTCACCCAGATTTCAAAGGAAGGACTGGTTAGCTAGCCAATATATCCCTCAGAGGAAGACACATGAATCTGGAGAATGAGGCTGAAGGTACAATGGAGATCCTGGGAATGTGAATATCTGCTGAAGAAAACTGCAGGCAATGAGCAGAATCAGCCCAAGAGAGAATCCATGTGGGCTCCATCCAGCAAGATTATCAGAGTTGGGCTGTCCAAGCCCTTTGGAGCTTACATTTCACTGCTGCACATCCCAAGTGCTGGACATGGAGCTTCAGGGCTTAATGTGTGCTGTGCTGGGTTTTAATCTTGCTTTTGTCTGACTCTATCTCTCTTTTCTTCCCTGTTGAAATGAGAATATTTACTCTGTGCCCCTGTGTTTTGGGATTATGAACTTAAAAATTTTTTTATAGGTGTTTATTGTTGAGTTGTCGTGAGTCTCAGATGAGAATATAAACTTAGACTTTAGGAATGTTGGGCCTGTTGAGTCTTTGAAGAAGGGATTCTGTTTTCAGTTGTCTGTAGGTGTTACGGTTTATACTTAGAATGTCCTACAAAGTTTATATGTGCTCAGAGATGAGGCTTTTGGACTGGGATTTGATTATGGGGGTGATATACTCAAGGGTGAATTATCACAGTTTAGCAGCTGAGTGTTAAGAGGTGGGGCCTCATCAGAGGAAGGTCACTGGAGGTGTGACCTGCAAGGGTATATCTCTTTACCTGGAACCTGCCTGCTCTCTGCTTCCTGGCTGCCATCATGTGAGCAGCTTTCCTTAATAGCAGTCTCTTTTACTATGCTATTTCAGCATTTAAGCCTGCCAACCATGGACTGAAATGTGAGATAAAATAAACCTTTCCTCTTTAAAGTTGCTAGTATTGGATATTTTGTCCCAAAGACAAGAAAAGTGATATAATTATCCTACTGTCTTAGTCACTAGCATTGGAAAAGCTGACCAATACAACACGTAACTGATGCTGGAAAATCTTGAGAAAGCAGTTCAAGTTTATTATTTAGAATCATGAGGATAAATACTAGATAAATTAGTTAAAAATGGTTTCAGGTTGGGTAGACTACCATACATGGTGAATGTTGTGGATGGCACTATTCTAATCCTAGGCCACAGATGGTACCCAACTTATGATGGTTTAGTTTAGGAATTTTTTTTTCACTTTGTGATGCTATGAAATTTATACTTATTCCTTAAAAATTGTAGTGAAATTTGGTCTTTTCTGGGGCTAGGAACATATGCTAAAACTCTTAAGAAAGATTCTCTTAAGATGTTAAGCAGTGGTAGCAAATTGAGATCCCAATCAGACCCAAGATCAAGAAGTTAAAAATTTGATTATAATTTATTGGGTTTCCAACGATTTTGGGATTTTTTGACACCCATCTGTGTACGTGTATAAATAAAATATTTAGTGCTTTATTATAAAATGAATTTGTTAAATGATTTTATCCATCTCTAGGCTAGTGTGCTTTGAACATTTTTAAGGCACACTAAGCTATGATGTTAATTTTTCTAAGTGTATTTAAATGCATTTTCAACTTCAAATATTTTAACCTTCAACGGGTTTATTGGGACATAACAATATCCTACGTTGAGAGACACCTGTATTTGAATGGTGCTCCTTGATGTTTGTACGAACTACACAGCTTTCCACAGTCCCTCTCCCTCAGGAACAGAACCGATGTTGAGAGAAGGTGATGTGAAACTGGAAATGCTCTATGCAGTTGTTAACATTTTGGCACTATTTTGCCTTTTTAAATTATGTTTTTATTTTTAAAAGTTTAAAATTAAAAATAGGAGATAAGTTTTCTGAGACAGAATCATTAGACTTTAGCAACCTCTGAGAAACCGGTAGATTAAAACAACAACAACAACAACAACAGAATTTAAAAAGAACTGAGAATAATCAGTTAAATAGGGCGATGGAAATAATCTCAGCGGAAATTGGTAACAGAAGTCAAGAGAGAGCGTCCAACATGGCCAACAGCGCCACATGCTGGCAAACAGGAAATTACAGAGGCACTGGGCCTCAGCTCCATCTCTCTGAAGGGCTGTTTGCTCATCTAAACATGATGGTAATGATACCAACTGTATAGAGCCCTTTTGCTGCTGATTTTATGAAATAGAGAGTGGTAAAATTAGTAAAGACACACCTTTTTTAGCATCTACTTTTACATGTTGGCACTATTCCTCTGAAATTAATCTATGTATTATCTGGGGAAAGGATTATGCAACTGAAAAGTAATTTTTTTCAATATTATATTAATTAAGGGCAGAGGGAACATTTTTTTTCTTTTAAATTTGAATGACATTAGTCTTAACTTCCTTGAGACAGAGAGCTGAGGCTGGAATTTTGAAGACTCATAGAGAATCCCACAGAAATACTCTTACCCTGAGGAATAGCTGTAGGGAACTGTCAATCTCTTACCAGATTGGTAAAAGAACCTCTTTCCAATGCGAGACCCAAGCTGCAAGACAAGCTTTTCTACCCTCAGAAGCTGACACACACATGGGGACATTACTTTGATGCTGTTTTAACTAAGTTCAGGCTGACTTTGAGAGAAGAAAAATTGGGTCTTGAATCTGAGCCCAAGAAGAAATTGAGGAATCTCTGGGAGGATGAAAGATTTGGGATGGAGTACTGCTCCAGTTTCACCAAAGTCCTTTTTCTCTTCCAGCTCTAGGAAGGAGGTCCTCAAGTTACCAGTCCCTGAAAAGCCGCATGGAACTTTTGAGGAATCCGCTACTTGGCTTTGTTCTGGTATCTATAGCCCCAGGAGAGTATCTTTTTACCTACTGTTTGGTTTCCTGAAATTTAAGAGCCATGGTAACAATGTAACAATGACAACAAATTTCTAGACACACAGTCCTGTATTGTTTAAGGATAGGGCTAGGTCCTGAGAAATGCATTGTTAGGTGATTTTTGTCATAAACATCTGAGTGTGCTTACACAAACCTAGACAGTATATCCTGCTGCATATATAGGCTTTCAGGCAACCATTTCTAGAATAAAGAGATTTCATCTGTATTGCAGATTTTCTCTGTCAAGGAATTTTCCTCCATAATCAGCTTTTCTAGGCTCCACAAAAATTTTCAACTGCCTTCACTTTAGCACTTGCTGGTTTTTTTTTTAATTTTATTGAATTTATTGGTACATTTTCTGGATACAGTACAGTTACATTCATTGTTGGGATCATGTACCTTTACATGGCAAGTCTTGATTCTCATTTTTTCCCCTTACCTCTGCCCTCCCTTCACCCCTTCCTCCCCTCCCCATCTACAAACACTTTATTTTCATCCTTTCATTCTCTCACATTTTTTTCTTTTCCCTTTTTGTTCTTCCCCTACGTATCACACCTTTCCTACACCTTTAGCTCTTTTCTTCAAATTTCTAAATGTCAGTAATCTTATTAGAATCTTATGCATTGTTGCAGAATATTCACACCAGGGAAACTATTCGGTATTTACACATGTGGGACTTATTTATTTCACTTAGGAGTATATCTTCAATATGTATCCATTTTCCTATGAATGAATCTATTCTCTCGCTCTTTATGGCTGAGTAATATTCCATTTTATAGAAAAACCACA